GAACTGCATGAAGAAACCACAAACTAAGTTTTAAAAAACTTCCAATTAAAAACAAAAAAAGCCGACAGAACTTTGGGGCAGACACTTCACCAAAGAAGAGATACAGATGTCAAATGAGCACCATATCAACAGTTATTTATTAGTGAAATGAAGCTAAAACACCAGTGAGACAGACCACTACTACACTTGCTATGGTTTGGATGTGAGGTGTCCCCCAAAAGCTTACATGTGAGGTAATACAAGAAGGTTTGAAGGAGAAATGATTGGGTTATTGCTTTAACATAACCAGTGAATTGATCGCTGTTGTGATTAACTGAGTGGGGAGGTGGGGAGTGGCTGGAAGACATGGTTCATTGGGTGCGTGGCTTTGGGGTATATTTTGTATCTGTGGCATAAAGTCTCTCGGCTTCCTTATTACCATTGAGCTATTTTCTTTTGCCACAATCTTCTGCTATGATGTTCCACTTCACCTCCAGCCCAAAGGAATGGAGCCTGCAGTCGATGGATTAAGACCTCTGAAATCATAAACTTCTAATAAATTTTTCCTCTTCTATTGTTTTGATCAGGTCCTTTAGTCACAGCAGTGAAGAGAGCTGACTAAAACAACACCTTATTAGGACACTGCAACAACAACAAAAGCATAATCATATGGTTAGTGTATCAGCAAGGATGCATACCTAGAGTCTCAGCTACTGGCAGGAATATAAATTTTCTAACATTCTGAATAGAAGTATGACAAATTCTATCAAAAGCATTTCATAACACATTTAACTTCAAGTTTTTAAAAATCCAAATACAATTGAACTACATAGGCATTAACTACTTTTAAAGAGGATACTGCATTTCTACAAACAAGAAGTTTAAATACAATCACATTAATATGGGTGAAGTTCATCCTAAAGCTGTGACCTTTTAGACCTCCTTGGATGAGGCATAGATTTCTTCTTAAATTTCTACTCTTATCAGCATAAATTTTAGCTCATGTGATTATTTACTTATCTCGACTCATAAGACCTAGGCAAAGTTCACAATAAAGGGTACTATTGGCAAAACAAATGTTTGCATGTGCCCAATGACCTTGATCAAGAAAGATCTTTCATCTGAATTCTAAAATTTAAGTTATCTATTTCTAATAAAAACTGATTTCTTATTCCTAAACATGTCGCATTATTTTATTTTGAATAAGCAACAAAATTTCAGACAAAATTCTAGTTCTACTGTCAATCCAAACCACATCACTTTAAATTTTAAAAGTCCTCTTCCTCCTTAAATATCACCTGAGTGACAGGTCCTATGATAGCCTTTTGATACAAAATGTGTAAGATGGTGTTTCTAACCTTGAGCTGCTCAAAGTTGGCAGGTTTATGATGTTGTTTGCTCTTGGGATGATTTACTTAAGCAGAGCCTTTCGTTAAGAAACTTTATGTCTCCTAAAGCTTGATTGTGGCAACTGAGCTGCCAAGCGCTTGTCACCAATTATTACCAAAGAGCTTTAAAGGATACGTAAGGATTCTTCTTCTCAGAGGAACACGTGGCTCTTCAAGTCAACTTTCTGTCGCTCCCACTTTTAGTCTTTTCATGTGATTCTCTGAAACAGGACAGGAAAACCCAACTAAAATTTTCCAAGATATTTTCCCTTCCCCTTTTTCTTCCCAATGTAAGATGAGTCCAGTTTTGCCAAACCCACCAATAACCTTCTAGCTGTCCAATGAGTCTTCATACTTTTTGGATGGCTCTGACACATTTCCTAGCCCCACCTCCTCCATCTCTCCTCTCAAAACTTTGACTTTCATGATGTAGCTCTATTCTTGTCCTCCTTCAAACCCCCTGCCCGTTGTCACTTTACAGGCTCCTCCATCGGATCCTCACTTCCTGCCCTCTCTGACATGCCAGACTTTCCCAGATTTACATTCTTGCACCTCTTTTTTCCTCATACACTCTTCCCCAACCATTTGATCCATATTCATGTTTGTAACTACAGTTTTTAAGTTAATGCTTTTTGAATCTAAATCCTATAGCTACTATTTATGGAATGCCTACTATGTGCCCATTATGCTGGGGACTTTGCATAAATTATCTCATTTAATTCTCAACACTCTAGCTTATTTTACAATCCATATGTCCAGGAAATAAGCTTATGCCAATATCTCGGTACACAGCAAAACCTTTTTCACTTAAACTAAGGTTTTAAGGAAATCTTAAACTTCACACTTCAAAATCCACTTTGACAATTATTAAAGATAGAATTTTTAGGCAAAGTGAAATCACTTAAGAGGACTCAAGTAACTCACCCTTATTATGAAATGCATGCAAACTCTTCTTTCTTAAAGATAATTTAAATACCCAAGTCTGTCTTTAATTCTTTTTTATCTGATAGAAGGGGTAAAAATCTTGCAGTACATAGAGCCACTAGACTCAAAGGACTGTGGTAACCTTCAAAATGAGTCTAAAACATTCAGCTTTTTATAATTTATTTTCTCTGGAAAATTCCATGTTCACGGATCACTTTGTGAAAAAATTATTGCTTAGACTAGCTTTCTCAAGTGAGTGACGTCAAAAATTTTAAAACATGTCAGCTGACATCTGTTTCATAAGAAACTGCCAGCTTCCCTGAAATCCCTTGACTACACAGATCCAGTGATTTTTCTCTTCATTCCCATTGCCACTACCAAGGTTCAGTTTCCCATCTTCTCTCACCTGATCAATGGCTATAAACTTTCTTACTGATTCCAATTTCACCCTGCTGCCACCCTTCTTCCACATTTTGCCTGTGAGATTTTTTTTTTTTTAAATACATGGTTGACCACTTAAAACAAAACAGAATTAGTTCCCCATGCCACATCTCTCTGCCACTGGTCTAGTTTTACAGCATAATTCTTTTCTTTGATGGATGTCTTAGAAATGCCTACACAATATAGTATTCATAATCTTATTTTTATTATATTTTCCAATTTGGCTTATTTGTGCATTTTAAAAACCAATGGAGAAAATGATTTAAAAAGGAAATTAAAATACACACATCTGTAAATTGATCTGTCATCTAGAGTTGATCAGCAGTAGAGAATATCAGGAGTCTCACATTCCAATCTTGTGTCTCCTAAAATCACCTTCATTATTACCTCTCTCTCAATAAACTTAATCAGCTCACAGAGACAAAAACAAACTCATATGTCAATTGTACATTAATAGGGAGAAAAAAATTCCAGCTAACTCGCTTTATGTATGCAATGTGTACACAATAAATTTTTATTCCAAAAATCATTTGCTAAGGACGTGAAAAGGAAATTTAGCATAAAAAGATTATTCATTAAAATTAATAGAGTTAGGAAATAATTCCCAACTAAATAAATAAGTCAAAAAACATTGGTATCAACCCCCAAAAGGGATATATTGTTAAGAATTTTTAACAAAATATAAGCAAAAATTCCTTTTATACCTAAAAGGGACAATACATCATGACCATGTGGAATTTATCCTAGGAACCCAAGTTGGGCTTATATTTAAAAATTAATTAATGTAGCTCACCCTACTTAACATAAAAACAAAAATATCATATGATCCTCTCAATAAATCCAGATAAAAAGCAATTAATGGAATTGAATGCCTACATTTTTGTAATTTAAAGAAAACTAAACTAAATTAGAATTGCCTTCATCTAATAAAGCATATCTACAAAAATGTCTATTGCTAACATTATAGTTAAGACGACATAATGAACAGAAGAACCTTCCCCTAAAACCAGAAATAAATGAAAGATATCCACTGTAGCATCATTACTACCACCACCTCTTCTCCTTTCTCTCTCCTCCTCCATTTATTGTGTGTGTGTGTGTGTATGTGTGTGTGTGTGTGTATGTGTGTGTGTGTGTGTGTGTGTGTGAGAGAGAGAGAGAGAGAGAGAGAGACAGACAGACAGACAGAAACAGAGATAAAGAGAGTTAGTTACTGTCATTGAACTCAGCTCACACATGCTAGGAAAGTGCTCTATCATTGAGCTACATCTGTGGCCCTTTTTATTTTTTATTTTTTATCTTCACTAAATTGCTCAAGCTGACCTCTAACTTGAGCTCCTCCTGCCTCATCCTCCTGATTCACTGAGATTATAGTCCTTCACCACCATACTAACAATCATCACTGTTGTTCAATATTTTAACAACTGTATTAACCAACGCATTAAGGCAAAGCAAATAATGGGCATAATATATTTGAAAGAATAAAAAAATATATTTGTTTACAGACATTATGATTATTTTTATTCAAAGTCCTAACTAATCTGTAAAACAAAAGGCGACTAAATCTAGTAAATTACTATACCAAAGATTCAAATTACAAGGTAAATCCAAAATCTCAACTATATTTCTATATACAAGCAACAAATATTTCAAAGTAAGGTTTTAAAAATATATATTTGAAAATAAGTTTTTAAAAATATATATATTTTCAATAGCACACTATAAAATATCAAGAAATAAACATAATAAAAGTACAAAAGACAATCCACATTTAACATGACAAAACATTGCTGATAGGAACTGAACCAGAGTCAACAGATGGAGAGTTCTCATGCTAATGGATGAAAATATAATATTGTTAATAAATTAGCTCTTACAGACTGATCTATGATTTCATTGTGATACCAACTGAAATTCCATAACTCTTTCTTTTCTGGATTTAATGAATGCTAAGATGTTTATGGAAATATAAAAAGAACTAAAATAGCCAAAATAATTTTGTAAATAAAAAAGAACAAAATTGGATGATTTACATGATTAAAAACGAATTATAAAACCATAGTAATAAAGATAGGGTACTACTAAAGTCAAACAAATTAATCGATCTGAATAGTTCAGAATTAAGTCACGAGATTTTTCACAAACTGTCAATAAAATTCATTTGCTATTGGAGAAAGTTTTCATCAAATTATTCTGTATTAACTAAATTACAAATAGGAAATAACAAAACTTGACAACCCTACAAGCCATTCACAGAAGTTTAGTCAAGTGGTCACTTCAGTAGCACATACACTAAAATTGGAACGATACAAATATTAGCATGGCCCCTGCACAAGGATGACTGTAAATTTGTGAAGCATTCCATATTTTAAAAAAGAAAAGAAAGAAAGAAATTAAGTCAAAAGAATTTCTAATAAGCATAAAAACTACAATTATAAAGCGCCTAAAAGAAAACATCAAATAACTTATAGAAAATAGCTCTCTGGAGCTAGGTACAGTTTACATAGAAGGGAAAAGTCACTAACCATTAAACTGGTTTTTATGACAGTCAAAACTTCAGCTTATCAAAACACACCAGTGAGAAAATGAACAATGTAGAAAATAATTGCACTTTGTGTAAGAAAAAGAAACAGATAAGCAAAGGACTAATATTCAGAATACAAAAGGATCTTCTACAATCAACATTTCCAAAATATTCAAATCAACACCTCACAAAATATGTAATAACTACAGATTCTCTAAATTTAGTCACTGAAGAAAAGTAAATTAAAATCACAATGAAATGTCAACACACACCCACTAGAATGGCAACTTTTGAAAATGTTAAAACCAAACATTAAAGAAGATGTAGATCAAATGGACCTGTCATACATTACTAGTAGAAATGCAAATTAATACAAGTAATTTGGAAGACTATTCAATATTCTCTTATGAATTTAAATGTTGATATTACTTTATGATTTAGCAATTTCAGATATGGGTGTCTACACAAAAGAAATGTATTTCCAGAAATATTTATAAAATTTTGTAAATGGCTATTCTGTTAATAAGAGCAAAACTTAGTCTTTTGTTTTTTAAATTACTCAGTCTATAGCATTCTGTAATACAATATGGAATAAGACAAGAATATTCTAACAGAATAATAACTGGTATTTTTATGTAATAAATTATTATTTAGCAATAAAAAAACTGACATTCAAAATGAATAAATCTCAAAGATTTTGATCAAAAGAATGAAGACAAGTGCATACTCTATGATGGCATTTAAATGAAGATTATAAACTTACAAAATTAATATACGGCAATAGAAATCCAAGTATTAGCTATTTCTTGGGAGCAGGGCTTGACTGAAAAAGAATAAGAAAGCCACACAGAGTAGAGCACACCTGAAATTTCAGCTATTTGGGAGGCTGCTACAGGAAGATCAGTTCACACGTTTGAGGTCCTCAGCAACTTAGAGACACTGTGAAAAATAAAGAGGAATGGGGATGTAGCTTGTGGCAAAGCATTCCTAGTTTTAATCCCTAGTACCCAAACTAAATAAATTTAAGAGTATGAGAGAATTTTGTAGGGTAAGGACTACATCCTATATACTGAAAGGAGTATGGATTTTATGCAGTGTACATTTACTCAACCTCATTGAAGTGGACACTGATAATTTGTATGTTTTACTAGAAATAATTATATCTCCACTTAGTAAAACTATATTGAGATATAGTCTCTCTACTAACAGTTTTACAAAAATTCACATTTGACAACATATTCTGATATGACTATGGGAAAAAATGGCAAATTTACATGATTTGATGAGATGTAAATTGACATAACAGCTAGAGGACATGGCCCATTTGAACCATCTGGTAAAATTAAAATATATATTTGTTCTTTGATTCAGCAATTTTCTTCTTGGATTCTATACCAAAGACACAAAGGAAAATATATGAAAATATTTGTATTCAAGATGATGTATTGCAGCATTATTTGTAGTAGCGAAAGAAAATACTAAAATATCCACCAACAGGGGACTGGTTGAATAAAATCAGGCTAGGCAAGCAGTAGACCGCTCTGTAGTTGTAAAACATGAAAGAAATCTATATATGTTGTTATGGAAATATTGTTAAATGCACAAAAGTGATTTAGAAAAAAAGCTCATATGGAATTTCATCATTCATCTATTAAGAGGAAAGAATGGATGGCTATAGGTAGATAAATGAATATAAACAGAAGAGGTAGTTTACATGAAAGAGCAATAAAATGTTGTGATTTAGATGAGGAGTCACCCATCTAAAGCTCATGTGTGAGACAATGCAAGAAAGTTTGCTGATTACATGATTAGTCTTGACCTAATCAGTGCATTAATTCCCTGAAAGGGATTAACTAGGTGGTAACTGTCGACAGGTAGGGTGTGGCCAGAAGAAGTGGGTCACTGGGAGCATGCCTTTGGTGTATATATTTTGTCTTTGTTGAGCACAGATCCTTCCTCCATTTCCTGTTGCCCATGTCCTGAGCTGCTTTCCTCTGCCACACCCTTCCACCATGATGTTCTGCCTGAAGGCCCAGAGCCATGGAATTGGCCGCCTGTGGACTGAAACCTCTGATACCATGAGCCCCAGATAAACTTCCTTCTCTAAAATTGTTCTTGTCAGATCCTTTGGTCACCACAACAAAAAAGCTGACCAAAACAATACTGCACAATTTTTTAAATGGTTATCAATAAAGGAAGAAAAGGAATAGAGTTGAAGGAAAAGGTACAAAGTAACATTTTTCTGACTATATCTAGGTCTATAGAATTTTATTTTGGAACATATTAAAGAATCTGTATAATCATAAAAGAAAATTAAACAGATTTTTTAAAAATTCCTAAAGAACAATAGTAAAATAAATGAGTCTATCTGTAGCCAGTTGGGGATGTAATCACATAGTGATAATATCAAATGGCATTAAAACAGTAATTTAACTAAATGCCCTTAGAGAGAGAAAGCCTTAGGACAAAAAGCACTGCAAATATACATGTATAAACAGCATCCAAAAAATTGTAATGTTATTACTATGGAATAATTATTTAGTGTATTGTAGAATAAAGTAAATGGGTAATTGTACTTTTTAGCAAGAGAGAAAAGAAACACAGTAAGATTAATGAGTTTAAGTTAAAACCCTACAATACTATATTTGAATTTACAAAATCAGAAGAACTCATAATAAACTACCTCTCAAAAATAAACTTGGGCATTTCGTGATTTTGTTTATTGAAAAGATCCAGAAATAAGAATCTACCCAGTAACAGTGAATATCCTTAGTAACTGTATTCCAGTGTCTAAATAACGTGTCCACTAAAGAGGCCTGGCTCCTTGCAAAAGGAGCTAGCTGATCCCAGGTCTGCAGCATGAAATGTGAAAAATGATCCTGTGAAATCCTGTTGTAACACAGCACAAAGAAGCTGTCTTGGGTCTAGTTTAAAAAAAAAAAAAAAAAAGAACTCAGTCAAGTTGATGAGGCTACTACTGGCCAAGAAGAGGCTATTATTATGCTTCTATCCATACGTTATAAAAAATAATAAATACTCCTTGGTCACTATTGGATAGTGCTAGTTAACTTAAAAAATAAGTGCTGGTAAGTAATTTTAAATGGAATATAAGTGAAAAGGGTCAAAACTTTAACTTTCTTTGCTATATAAATGAATCCTAAAGTTTACCAACATTCATGAAGGAACATTTCTTTGTATAGAAGTATTCCAGCTAATAACTGGAGAATGAATGATAGAATTATAAAATCATCATTTTGCAACCCCTAATTAACTAATGTGGACAAAAATTGTTATTATCTACAACATCACTAAAAATCATTAAAAAATTAAAAGATCACTAGATAGTATAGACCTTCTACTAGAAGCACCAGTAAAGTGTTCTTTTTAAAAATAGAGTTCTTGAATCATGATTAGATTCAAATTCTAACAAATAATAGGCAATTGTGGAAACAGAGGAACATATTGTACAATACTGAAAGGCAAACTCATAAAATACAAACCATAGAAACTCTAAGTCAAATGATAAAATTACTTACAGAAATAATGAATATGAAGAGGTACTCTATATAAATAGTAGCCAAATTAAACAATTGCGATATATATATAGACCTTATTTGGATCCTGGTTTAAACAATACATTTGGATCCTGGTTTAAACAATACATTTGGATCCTGGTTTAAACAATACATTTGGATCCTGGTTTAAACAATACATTTGAAAAATATAGTTATAAGAAAAATCAGAGAAATAATCATTTGCATTTGATGATACTAAAGAATTACGATACTAGAATTATGTTAAAATACCATCATTTTAGAAATATAAACTAAAATTCTTAGGTATGAACTTAAATGACATCCTGTATTTCCTTCAAATTGAGTTGAGCAGGATGTTGTAAATAGAGAACACTCAGCATCTGTCCTTTAAAAAGTCAACCCAAAAGGACAGAAATTTGCAGGGAAGAGGTAGGCATTCCAAAAATTGGGGACCATACATACAAAGGCTGCAGATCTAACACACTATGATGTAGAAAGGACTAAGACACATCTAACCATGGCTAGATTAAGGAGACACAGAGGGAGGAACAGAAGATGACTTCAGTATGCCCAAGAGTGGCTTTTATTCTGTGAGAAAGCACTACCCAAAGGGGAAAAAAAATACAGGCCATATGTATAACCTACAATTTTCTGCTAGTCACATTAAATAGTGAAATTAATACATTGTATTTAATTCAATAAATCTAAGATATTACAAAACAAGTTATCAGTATAAAATTGGTAATGATATTTTGTTGTTTTCTGTACTAAATTTTCACTATTCAATGCATATTTTATATTTAGAGCACATTTCAATTCATACTCCTTCAATTGCTCAATGGCCACATAAAGTCTTTGACTATCATTGCATAGTACAGCTACTACAGAACCTTATGATTTGAAAATTTTGAGAAACTACCTGCTTTTCATTCTCCAAGTCACCAAATCAGTTCCCCATGAGTTCAACTTCCATCCTTCAATGAAGATATTTTGTAAACTTAGACCATATGTCCAACTGTCTACTATGTCTAATATTTAATATTTACCCCAAATTAAGTGTTCCAGACTAAGTTAATTATCTGTCTCCTTCACCTCCTTATCTCCCTAGAGTTTGTCTAACTCCATCTCCCTCTATTTGGTCCCTCCTCATTTAATCAGTTGAAAGATTCTGTTAGTTATTTCCAAATGTCTCATTCTTCAACTTATTTAGTCAAAATGTTCCTCAAATCATGATCAACACTACTATGAATGATTCCTTATTTTATCCTTTCTGCCACCATTTGGTCCCCACCCAATATGTCTTCCTTTATC